ATCGGTCACGTGACTTGCTGAAAACAACACGCGCACCGACACGTTTTGGTCTGTGGGCTGGACGCATGCGCAGACGCATCGGTGTTGCCAGACCCATCACTAGGAGTTTGACATCCCTGGTCTAAGAGGTTGGGAATCTCTTCACTGGGCCCCAAACAGCGTCTCTCTCGGGGCCCCACGCAGCTCGAACCGGCCCTGGTTCTACCATCTCCGCTCCGCAGCAGCAGGGGGCGCGAAAGCAACGACACCAACCGGAAATACGCGCTTCAGCTTCCGGTTTCCGTAAACACGTGTAAGTGTGTTGAAAGGAACAAGAGCAGCAGAACCTTTCAGAACCTCTCGGAACCATTTAGAACCGCTCACGTCGGGGCGTACCGGGACTGCTAGACCATGTTGGAGCAGCTGGGTCTGATCGGAACCATCCGGGACGAGGATCTGAGTCCAGAGGAACCAGCAACTGAATCCGAGCCGGAGGTAAGTCATTCCAGAACCGGGACCAAAACCAAACATGAAACTGATTGTTGCACCGCAGCTGCTGCTGGGTCAACTGGACTCTCTGAGGTTCGGATCTGTCTGGTTCTGATGAAATGGATCCGACCATCAGATCTGAGACCAGCTGAATGGTCTGGAACAAAGTCCAACAGAACCGCGATCCTGATCCAATCATGTGAAGGGTTAGGTTCTGGTGCAGTTAAAACCAGAAACTGGACTTTGAGGTTCCGATGTGTTCAGGAGGAACAGCAGACAGCCAGCAGTTGCTATGGAAACCCTCCGTAATAAACCATATTCCGGGTTCTGATGAGGCCTGTTGGATTAAAAACACATTTAATCCCAGAGTCTGGATTAAAAGGTTCTGATTGGTCTGGTGAAAAATTCTGATGCGTTTACAATTTTGATGAACAGAAATCCCCACACTGGATCAGAACCGACCGGTCCAGATCTGTTTCAGGAGCTGCTGCTGCTGCTGCTGCTGCTGCTGCTGATGATGATCAGGGCCGGCCCAAGGCATAAGCAAACTAAGCAGCCACTTAGGGCCCTAGGGCCACTAACGGGCTGCTTAGTGGAGTTTATTTATTTATTCATTTATTTTAGTAATAATTTCTGTCATTATAATATCAAAAACACACAATTTCACCATGAAGTGATTTGTTTTTACAATAATATATATTTGATCATGTTTGTAGAAATTATTATTTTATGAATAAAAAAGAAAAACTAAATTGCTCTGGGGGCCCCTAGTGGCCGCGGTAGGTACCGCAGTCTCGCTGGTAACATGAGCTGCAATGAGCATCCAAACGTCCAAAGCTCCGGTCAGAAGCTAAGCTAGCAAAACGATGTCTGGGAAAAGGACTTATCCTTCAGGGAGGGAGAGAAGAAGGAGGAAGAATAGAAAACAGCCCAGATAAAGGTTTGTTTTAATGAGCCTTGGTGATGTAAAGATTAG